TTATTTATATTTATATCATCTATACGATATTCGAATATTTGTTTTTAGATGTTTCACCTAGCTATTCTCCAAATATCAGCCTTTTATATTAAAAAATTTTGACCAGTGTAAGCAGGGCCTTCAAGAAATCTTTGTTAAAATTTGAGTATGATTTTTTATGAATACTACACAGGAGCCTGCGAAGCAGGTTTCTGTTTACATAATATCATCTCAAATGCTACATAAGAGCTTGCGAAGTGGGTTTTCATTTACATAATATACCCTGCTTTGCAGAGTATATTATATTATATATATAAAATAAACTTTAACCTTAGAGAAAGAGAAAAAAAAGAAGAGAGAGAGAGAGAGAAAGAAAAAAGAAGAGGGAGAGAAATAGAGAAAAAAGAAGAGAGAAAAAAGAGAAAGAGGAGAAAAAAGAAGAAAAAAGAAGAGAGAGAGAGAGAAAAAAAAAAAAATGAGAGAGAGAGAGACAGAGAGAGAGAGAGAAAGGAAAAGAGAAAGAAAAAAAGAGAGAAAGGGAGAAAGAGAAAGAGAGGAAGGCCACCGAAAAATCGCACACAATTGGCACACTCTGAGTTACAGAATAGTGCCATAACAAGGTCTAAAAGAAGGGGAAGGCCGCCAAAGTCATTCTCTCTTGAATCATCAGATACTATATCTAAAAGGAGAGGAAGACCGTTAAGTACAAATGTTTTGGGTAGGAGAAAGAATACACGTAAATTATCTCCATTACCTACAAAAAATTGCTCTTCCAACAAAGATGCGGATTCAGAAAGGTTGCCCTTTGACTATAATGAAAGTGGTGGGAAAATACGAATTTTGAAACGTGCTTTTATTTCAGGACCTGGTACTAATTCTCGAATTCAAGTAAAACGTTCGCGAAATGAATCTAGCATGGTATCAGTGCTCATTGAACAGAAAACACCCTACATGGTTGATGAGTGCAACTCTATTGGTTCTAATGTTGATGAGGTAAAAATGTCACTTTAACACTCACATTTTTTATACAATATAATTATATCTGAAATATCTGAAATATTAAAACCATAGGAAACGGAAGCATTTACGCAAGTTAATGAGCCCATAGAACCTTCAGCAATCATTTGGCTGCCAAGACAAAATGAGAATACAGGTGCATTTCGCATTGGAGCCAACGACGTCCTGATGGGTATTAATCGAAATAACAGTTATATTGAAGATACTTCAAATTTTATAACCGAACAAGAAAATGCTTCGAATCATGTTCTGTCATTTGATACCCCTTCAGTTAATATACTTGATCCATGGTTTGATTCTTATTTCGGTTTCCCTACATTTGACGATGATCTTGTCTAGTAATTTTACAAGCGCAATAGTTTATTTCTGTAATAGAAAATTTCACATAAATGCTTGGAATTTGCGTATGTATTTTTTTCTTCCCCTTTTTTTTTTACTTTTTTTTAAGCGTTGATGCAAAAATATTATGTATACTGTATAATGTTTTGGTAGTCGAATGGATGTGCTTTCTTTAGGATATTTTGTTATATTAAAAATTTGCTGAATTAGTCAAATTTATTGTAATGACCATCCCTTTATATCATATTACGAAATTGACCCGATTTTTAGTTTATATTTATCAAATTTAGAATTTAGTTTAGATTATGCAAAGAGCTTGAATAGAAAATACATAATGTATATAAAGTAGAATTGCACAAAGAAGACGTTTAATTAAGGCACGAAAGGTAGTTAATTATGCGAAATTTTAAAGTATGAGAGTTTTTTGCGCCGGCTACGGGTTCGGTCACATTAGTGGGTTTCATTAACCACACAAAATTTTAAACATCAGATTGTCTAGCAGACAAATTTGCCTATAAAAGCTCTTTCAATTTGAGTTATGCATATACTGTAAACATTCTTAGCAAGAATCGGCACCATTTTTAGCGAAATATATTTATACAATAAACATTTATAATCAGTACTTAGGTTTGTACTTTGTCATTCAAGTAAAACAAGAACACTAAATGCTGTGGTTTCTGCAGGAGAGACCATCCAAAATATGGGATTTAATTCAGTACGCTGATCTACACTCTGCATTAGCACTTTAATAAAGCTCTCACGTACTGTACATACGTACTTACGTTAAATTGATATCGATATGCAACACCCTAATGCTAAACTATCAATTTTTACATTAACATGTCAAG